GCAGAAATGTGAATGGACTATGCGTTAAACTATGGTGCCGTGCCCCCCCCCCCCCCGGAGGGAAAGGGTGTTTGTGTCTTCCACCTCCCCACCCCCGCCGCAGCACTGTGGGCACCACCTCAGAGCTTATTGGACAGCCAGTTATGAGCCGGCGGTGATGGGGCAACTGCAGCCTCATGGGATGGCCGGCGGTGATGGGGCAACTGCAGCCTCATGGGATGGGGGGCGGAACCGGCATGTCCTTCCTGCCCTGCTGAGGCCACGAGTTGCCACCTACAAGTGGCTCTCTGGCAGGGCCATGGCTCCAGAGGCACACAAACCAATCTCATAATTATCTGTCTTTTGGCAGAAATCCCTTCAGTCTTAATTAGTAAAATATCAGAAATCCAAAACTGCACGATAGCGGCTGTGCAACATCATATGGTCTTCAATGTCAGCAATCGAAAACAAATTATTTCACAATGCCTTTTCAGCAGTTCTGATTGTTGGGGGGAAATTCCAAATAATAATCGTACATCTTTTCTCAAAATAATGACTGTAGTCAAAGTAGAGAGAGAGTTAAGTAGAAATCATCTGCCTCACAGGCATTGGGAAGGGTGAGAAGGGGGGTATATATTGGGGTTCTTGGTGGTGAAAAATGTGCACTGGTGAAGGGATGGGTGTTTGATCATTGTATGACTGAGACTTAAACCTGAAAGCTTTGTAACTTTTCTCACAGTGTTTCGATAAATAAATTTTTTTAAAAAGCTTGGAAAAGCTTTTAAAATATTTAAAATATTTTAAAAAGCTATTAAAATATTCCTCCTTTTCCCAAATACATATCTGTTTAAGGCCAGATTTCCTTCATATTCTTCAATCCAAACAACATATGGCCACGGGTAAAACACCAACACAGACGAGCATCCTGATGTCTTCTCTTAACATGGACAGTTATTTGCAGAAGAGGCCAGGGAGATAGGACAAAGGTAGACACTTGCCATGCATGTGGCCAACCCAAGTTCAATGCACAGATCCCTGAGCACAAAGTCAGGAATAAGCCCTGAGCACCATCATGTGTGGACCCAACACTCAACCCCCCCAACTAAATGATATTTGAAAAATATTTAACAGTGCTACTTTGGGGCAGGGCTTAGAAAATTGACTATTTTTATAAAATGTTACTTGTATAGACATAAAGAAGTTTATAGTTGCAAAAATTAATACACATGTTTGATAGTTTTTCATTCATATTCTTTTCTAATTTTGATTCTGAGTGGGATGAACAGATGTGTACACTTGCTCATTTATTTAATCAGGACGATGCTAGAGCTCTTTCCTCTCAGAAATGTGGGCACAGAAGGCAAAGGAGCAGAGTAAGGAGATGGTGCTGGGAAATGTGCACACACCCATTGCAGACGATGCCAGGTATCTTGAACGTGTTTTAAATTGGACTTCATTTTTCTCAAATCACCATCTTCAGTCCAACGCTCCATTCTGAACTCACACAAGATAATCATTCACCCGAGGAGTATTTGTTTAGACCAGGACTTCCCAACAAAGGTGACAGAGCGCCCCCCACAGGGAGTGTGGAAATGATGGGGTGGAGGGAAGCATTAGAACCCTCAGGTTGGCTTAAAAAAGGTACATTTCCAGGGAAACAACTGAGTGATCTTTTTTTTCTTTGAAAAGGAGCCAGTACATCAAACCTGTGTGGGAACGTCTGGCTTAAAACATCAACGTGTCAGGTATTCTAAGTACCTTGTTGGACAGCCTGATGCTGCACAAACAGTAAGCACGGAACCACCTGTGCTAAGCTTGTCTTTGCTCCCAACAGTCCTTCCCACATGCCCCTATGGCAGGGATTTGCCACGCTGCATGAAGTCTAAGCCAAATATCTAGAGTCATCCCTACCTCCAAGGGTCAAATAGAAAAGGAAACAGGAAAAAGGAAGAAGGAAGGAAGAGCAAGAAGAAGAGGGAAGCAGAGGACGGAAGGGGAGAGGGAGGAGTCAGCCCATGGCAAGCAAGTGCCCTGCCTGCTGTATCGCTCCAGTCTCCAGTAAAGGCTCCTGAAGAAAGCCTGACCTCTGCAGGCTCTACACCATCTGACATACTGTGCTATTTCCATGGCCAGGCGTTCTTCATAAGCACTGTTCCGAGCCAGGCCCATTTGAAGAAGGCAGGTTGGCAGATAGAAGAAGCATCCCCACAAATATGGGGACCCCACCCCCAGCCCCACAAGGATGAGGAACCCCACAATGAGTCCTTAAGTCAACAGCACTAAGGATAAGACCCCCCCCTTGTGGAGAGAGGAATAAGGCACCAGAGAAGCCCGGATGCCCCTTCCAGAGAAACGCCTGGAAAGGAATGTCAAAGAAGACCACCAAGTGCCGAAATTCTTCCCAGGTCAACCCCCTGGGAATGACCTCTTGCCTCGGTGGAAAGTCCCATGTGGGGCGGGTTGGGGAAACCTCTATAAACACCACCTTGGAATGATGGACATGCGCCTGGCCACGCCCCTCTGCCCTGCTGAGCTGTGCATTCTCCTGCTTTAGTGCAGGGATGGGTACTGGGGCTTTCTCTGCCTTTCAAGAAGCCCAAGAAACCCATGTTTTCTCCTGAACACGTTATCCTCCCTCCCGTCTCCCCTTCCTCAGATTTTCTAAATAAAAGTTGTCTTTACTTCACTACTTCTCTCCTACTAAAAAGTCTTTTCCTGTAAGGGAAAGACAATGTAGCTCAGTGGTCAGGATCCTGTCTAGGGCTGACCTTCCTTTCCTGCAAGGAGCAAGGCTCACAGAGGATTCCTGATCAGTCCTAGATTTCTCTAGCAGCTCCTGAAGTGGCGGGGATAGAGAGAGAGAAAAGGAAGACCCTTCTCAAGGTGTCTGTCTCTGTCCTCTCCACAGAAGCCACCCGGGGCCCCCACATGCATCATATTCTCCCCTCAGCCAAGTCAACTTTGCCGTGTATATCACCTGGGACCCCTAAGACCAGCCTGGTGGCCTGCTTCTGAGTGTCCACAGCACCTAGCCTCACTGCGGCAGCACTTAGCATATTGGTTCTGGCTTTGCTTTAAGGAAAGAATTTATTGGGGGGATGAGGGGAAGGGAGGGGCCATCCTGGTGGTGGTCAGGGGGCCATATATGGTGCCAGGGATGGAACCTGGGCCAGCCACATGCAAAGTAAGTACCCTACATGCTGCTGTATTATCTCTTCCACCCTTGTTTGTGTGTGCTGGTGGTGGGGGGGGGGGGGGTCAGGTTATTTGGTGGTTTTTTGTTGGTTTGGTATTTTTTTTGGTTTTGAGGTCACACCCAATGGTGCTCAGGATTTACTCCTTCCTCTGGTCTCAGGGATCACTGCTGGCAGGACTCAGGGACCATGTGGGATGCAGGGGGTCAAACCCAGATGAGCCCCATGCAAAGCAAGCGCCCTACCCACTGTACTATTGCTCTGCACCCCTGCCAACCTTGATTTTTTTTTTGTTTTTTTCTTCCATCACCCCTTTCAGTGAGGTGGTTTCACATTAGCAATGCATTTAGATTCTGCATTCCATTCTTGGATCACCTGATCTCCTAAAGGATCTTATAACTTGCATATATGAAAGTCTACCTTTTGTGTCATAAAGTTGTATTTCATGTATTGCCATTATACCCCTCACAATCCCCATGTTTCTTTATTCACTATTCACTCCTACACCAACCCACAGGTTTTAACTGCCTGTTTACTTGACCCCATCTCTCACATGTGCATGCCGGCCGAGGATCTCAGTGTCCATCACTATCCACGGTGATGTCCACACCTAGTTTAACTCAGTGTCTCTACCAGGCAAAAGTCTCAGCACTCTGCAGATATTCTGCACCCACCCAATAAATGCAAGAACTAGAGCCAGAGAGCCCGAAAGGCTGAGAGCACCTGCTTTGCACTCGGGCAAGTCATCTCCTGAGAGCACGAAGCACTGTTAGAAGCAACCCCAACAGAAAGCCAGGCAAGAGCAGTCCTGAGCACTGTGGGATGAGCCCCACCCCCCAGATTAAATATAAATGCAAGAACTGGAAAATCTTTTGTGACACATAGAATTTAAGCTTTGTCCCTAAAAGCCAACAGTGTCAGCTCTCATACCCTGGTGGACAGGGTGCAAGTCCTTCCAGATGGCACCCAGAGGGGGCGATAGCTCTGCATCACTCTCTGCTGGGAGAACAGCAACACCACCGTGCTCTGCACAAGAAATGGAGAAGGAGGATTCCCCCACAGAAGGGGGAGTGTGGTGGGAACAAGGAAGAAAGGCTCCTGGGAACCCTGAGAAGCTCTGCCTGGGGAACTCCACACTGACACCAACTGACCCCACGGCAGTTCCAGCCGTGCAGTCTTGTCGCGATGCAGTGTAAATCACTGCACACTCGAATTTCCAAGCCAGCCGGGGTCGGGACACGGGCCTGCATGGCCCGCTGTGCTCAGGTGACGGCCTTCCTACTTCTGACTTAGGGGTTGAGAGCACTCCCAAGTGGTGGGTGGAGGGGAGAAGCTCCTGGCAGCTGAACCATCGCGGCCCAAACAATGGCCCTTTCCGTGCAGCTGGCTCTGCACCTGCCGCCGTCCTTCCGCACTCCGTGATGTCCACACACAGACAAGGCCCAGAAATACCCCCCGCAGAAGAAGTGAAACCACTGCCCAGTTCTCCTTTTTTCTGCTTAATTGACACACAGCAGTAGAGCGACAGCTACAAACTCACAATCCCCAGGACAGAGGCTCAACCTGCTCTCAGAGTTTTATGGTTGGGGAGCTTCTGGCAAACATCCTGTTGAGAGTAAAATGGGAGTGGAGGGGCTAAATTTACCACCTAGAAACTTCAAACAAAATAAAAGAGAAGTCAAGAGAAAGGCAAGGCTATGACCAAAGTCTGATGTCAACGCTACTCAAGCAAAACGTAAAATATTTTTTAAATGGAAGAACAAAGCCAAGACTGATACATATACCATTCAAAACAGACACCAACATTTTCTTGGGGGAGCTTTTTACCTGCACATAGAAGGTCCTGGAGCTTGTTATGATTTCAAACAGGTTGTCCCTCATTAAGAGATCCCTGGACAGAGAACAAGAAAGCAGGTTACTGGAATGCGGGACAGACATTGAAGACTTGATTTCTCCTATATGACAATAGCAGAGTCCTCTAGATTGGAGGGGTTTTCCCCTTCAGCCCCTCCAGGTCACAAAGCAATGCAAGGGTTTCCGCTAAGTCACTAAGGGGGTCTTGGGGCATTTTGTCTTGCAAGGGGATACCACACTCAAACCACTCTTAACAAGATAAACCTCCATTCCTTCTAAAAATCTCTTGCCTAACATCCACCACACTCCACACAGAGGGGTGTGTGTGTGTGTGTGTGTGTGTGTGTGTGTGTGTGTAGGCTTAGCTGCTAAGATACATAAGGTGCTGTGTGCAAAGGTCTTTTGAGGCATCTTTTCTTTTTTTAGGGTCAAGTATATTAAAATGTTATTGGTTTTTGAGTGAGGCAGAAGTATCACAACATATAAATTAGTTCAGGTATGTAACACGATGGGTTTTATTTTGGAGGGTTCATCTAGAGTTCTCAGAGCATATTCCTGGATACTCCTGGCTCTGTGCTCAGGGATTACACCTGGTGAGTTTCTGGGGGACCATATAGGGTGCTGGGAATCAAATCCAGGTCAGCTGCGTGGAAGGAAAGTGGTCTGCCCGCTATACTAGCCCTCCAGCCCCTCAATATTTTTATATATTGCAACATGATCATAAGTATAGTTAATATCTATCCTCAAATGCAGTTGTCTTTTTCTTGGAATAAGAAGTTTTAAGACTCATTCTTTTATCTTTTAAATCTGTAATACAATATTATTAACTATAGTATTATATAAATAAATTGATTGAGAGAGTTCATAATACTGTCCATTACATCCACAGGACTTGTTTTTTCTAAATGGAAGTTTGCACCTATTGCTCATCTTCACCCATTTTGACAATTCCCTATCCCACCCCACCTCTGATCTGTTCCTTGAAGGGAACCTGTGTGTGCTATTTCATCTGATCTTCACCATGATCTAGGGAAGCACTTAAGACTTTCTCCACTTTATGGATGAGAAAGCACAGGTTCAGAGAAGTCCTGGGACTTGTCCACAGAGAACATAATGGGGATTTAGGAGCAAGGCTGACTCTACCTCCCCTAAGGGAACCAAGTCTCCTATCTCCACAGGCTTTGCCCCACTGGATATTCAGCACTTCCTTGGTTGCACTTGGCTTCTGCTCTGTGCCTCATAATACTGGGCTAGAAACAGGGCCCAGGATCAACAGGGGGCTTAGGAGATAGCACAGGGGTAAGGGGTGCAGGTTTTGGATATGTGGGGCTCTGGTTCCATCCTGACACTACATGTAATCCCCAAGCACTGCTAGTGAAGACCAGGAATCCCCCAATATCGTTGACATGGCCCTGGTGCCCCCTACCCCCACTAAAATACTCTAAGGCCTGGGTGATATTTGGGCTCTATTTGACGCCTATGGCCCAACTGGCCGAATATTAGTGGGAGTGGCCAACTGAATCGAGCACTATTTAAAAGTCCCTTTTGCTACAAAAAAAATAGGTGAAGAGAGGCATATTTATTAATTCAAGCAACAGGGTGAGAAATACCTGAGGTTCAATGACAAACTTCAATGACAAACCTCAGTACTAAATGAACTAAAATGACAACTTGAATGCCTGCTGAGTATCTATCTAGTCACTGCAGTAAATAGATAAGAAATGAAATATTTCCTTTCTCCCAATAAAAGAACATGAGAGAACAAAACTATTCATAGTGTATGCCAAGGATAGATTAATTCCAAGAAAGAAATGATCACAGGCAGGGCTGGCTTCAGGAAAAGAGACTTGGAAGGAGAGAGCGAGTCACAATGACGCCTGGTAAATCCATCTTCAGCAAGAGACAGAAGATCCACGGGGAAGGCAACGTGTGGGGAGCGGAGCCAGAGCCAAAGCCTGACTCCAGGAAAAGGTATTTTATGGAATTTTTAAAACTTTGTGAACCTTTATGCTCCAATTATGAAATGGAGATGAGGGGCCCGAGAGACAGAGAGTTCGGTGGGTTAGAGCACACGTCTTGCCTGCAGGATACCCAGGTTTGATCTCTGAGGTTGCATATGGCCTTCTCAGGCCTGCCATGAACATACCCCCCACCCCAGCAACAAAGCCAGGAGTAGCCCCTGAGCACAGCCAAGTATGTTTCCCCCCCCCCCCCCCGAAAAAAGGGAAAAAAGGGAAGAGGAGAAGATAGCGCCTTTGTGGGGTGATCAGGTGCAGTGTGTGTCACTCGAAATGCTTTTCACCATTTAGCTTCTGAGTCACCTAGTAAAGGCAGCTCTTCACTCTGCCTGAAATATTTTAACTGTTCGAACTCTTCAGGCTCACACTGAGCAATCATATCATCAGCCACCCAAGAGGGGAAGCAGGCCTGGAGGAAATCCCCGCTTTCACATCCACTTCTAAGTCTATATTTTGTTTTTCAATTTGATTCAATTCAGTGAATGTCTGTCAACCCCCCAAGGCCATAAACCCCATCACTAGGTTTTGGGAGGGGGTGGGGGTACAGTGTGACAAAGGCCTGGGATCTGCAGGGGGTGTCTTTCCTCTCAGGACTTTAATCCCCTCATTCTTTCACTCAGACCCCACTCATACGTGCAGCTAGAGATTTGGTCAGAGTATAAACCCCCATCAGGACAGACCCTTATCAGGGCTTGCAAAGCTGCCGCTGCCCCCATGCCCAGATGACCAGCAGAGGCCTTGAGGGCACCGGCGTCAAGAATCTAGTCACGTTCAACCTTCCTTTCCTCCCTGGTCAAACTCTAGATCACATTTCTGGACATTCCATCTAGAACTACTGTTTCAGTTTGTTTGTTTGTTTGGGGCCAAATCAGTGCTCAGGGCATATTTGATCCTGGTCATGTCTCAGGAATCACTCCTGGTGGTGCTGTGGGCACCAAGGGTGGTGTTGGGGATCAACTTGGGGTCAGTCACATGTTAGACAAACACCTTACCCCGTACTATCTCTTCGGCCCTAAAGCCACTTACATGAATTATAAACGGTCTCTGAGAACTTGCCTACTTTCTTATACTCTGCTACGGTCCTTTGTAACTCCCTACTCCTACTTTGGGTCCTCGAGCACTTTCCTATCAGGCAACTTTCTCCCCTGTCCTGTGTGAGAACAATCAGCCTATTGCTCAAACCTTCATCGAGAAGGCTGGCTGTGCCAGGGATGGAGAAGCCCCATTCACCATCCCTAAGGATGGGCAGGTCAAGTGACAAAATGGGAATTTCTAGATGCCAGCGGGGTTCTGGAGTTCAGTGCTGAGGGCATCCATGTTTGCTGTTGGCTCTGAAAGTGACTCACTCTCGCTGGCCTGAGACGCAGGCAAGCACTACGGCACTTGAAAGACAATCATGTCCCAGTGGGAAAATCTTTGTTCTTCCTTCTCGCTAGGAATAAAACACGGTGCTGTGAATCACCTTTGCTTTCTGGGACACTGGGGCTTTTGTCCAAAGAAGGAGAGAAAGACAAAAGAGGTTGAGGAAAGAGACTGTGGCAGTGAAGGGGACTGGGCCTGAAGTGCTGACAGGTGAGCGGCCTGCAGGCCCATTCCCACTCCCCCCCACCCCCCACCCCGCAGTCCTCCTGGGAAGTAAAAGCAAATGAGAGTAGACTATAGTCCGAACAAGATTGCCACTCAATGTCTCTTTTGCAAACCACAGCACTCAAAAGGAGAGAGATAACAAAAGGGAATGCCCTGCCACAGTGGTAGGGTGGGATGGGGAGAAGGGGGGTGGGGAGGATACTGGGACTGGTGGTGGTGGAGAATGGGCACTGGTGGAGGGATGGGTATTTGATCATTGTATAACTGAAACCCAAGCACAAAAATTTATAAGTCTACAACTGTACCTCATGGTGTTTCACTAATAAAAATTTAAGGGGATTAAAAAAAAAAAGCGAACTCCAGAGATCAGCTCTACTTTCTTCTTGGTTCTTTCTTTTTCTCCACCAAAAAATAATTATTTAAGTTCCTCTCCACGGGAGCCAGAGGGAGGCCTTGGGAAGGAGGTAGGTTTGCCAGCGCAGGCATGGGGCCACATAGCTCAGACTGTGAGCCCTATCCCAGACCCCAGGAACCCCGCCCTGGGCAGAAGCTCTGCACAGTCAGGGAAGGGGGAGAGTGAGGTTGAAGTAAGTGAGGCACAGTTACCCAGACTTGACCAGACACTCGTGGGTCTTGAGAACGTCCTTGAGAAGTATAGTGCGAAGCGGCTCTCGGTCCTGGTGGGGGAAAAACAGCAGCTAAGTAAGACATGAGCAGAAATACCCAGACAGCTGCCAGGGGCTCCTTTCCTCAGTAACAGTTGGTGTTAACTACCAGATTGCAAGCAAATAAGGTCTCGTGATAATTGAGAGGGAAAATAAAAAGACTAAGATTTCTCCAAGCATGGAGCAGCTTGCTGAATGGAGCAAGACTGAGGGGCCTTTGGCATCGGATTTTTGTTTGTTTTTTCTTTTTTCTTTTTCTTTTTTTTTTTTTTGATGCACAGGGGTTACTCCTGGCAGTGCTCAGGGGACCATATGGGATGCTGGAAATCAAACCCAGGTTGGCCGCATGCAAGGCAAACACCCTACCCGCTGTGCTATTGCTCCAGCCCCTGGCATCATTTTGAAGAGCCCCAGGGGAGAGGAGAGGCGCTCCCATGTGTGCCCGCGTGTCCATGCCTCTTGCTTCTGTGGTCTTCTCAGAAGGGGCCCAGAGCCACTACAAACCTGCTCACACTTGAAGTAGCAGATGGAGAAGTCATCAAGTGCAAAGAAGCGACGTTTCCAGCTCTTGCGCTGAAAAAGGGAAAAAACGGTTCATTAGGAAAGGGACTCAGCAACCGCCAATGGGTGCGACGTCTGAGCTCCCCAGAGCCCTCAGTCATGGCCACTAGGCTCATGCACCTCAGAGCAGGGGGAGCATGGCGAATACTTCATCCCAGGAGGGGCCACGTCTCTGACCGGGGGACACAAATGCCAAGTCGCCAAGTCCCAGATATGACCCCCGTCGGGCAGTGGCTAGCAGGCCCCTCCTAGTCCATCCCCCTGTGCGAGGCCCCAGGTCTTGCCAGAAGCCCCCCAGGCCAGCACCAACACTCACCACATTCCCTTGCTTCACACAGTAGCCGCTCTTAATGAGGGGAGGGCCGCTGGGCACTCGGCAGCCCGTCGTGGGGATGTAGCTGTGAGACCTCCGGAGGATGGCATGGGTGCCCGGCTCGCCCCCTTCTTGTCCATCACCACCGTTCTACAAGGAAACAGCAGCAGGATGAGCAGAGCCCTCACCTCCTTCAGCCGCTCTGCCCAGAACCAGACAGGAGAATAAACACTTGCGGGGCTGGAGAGATAGCACAGCGGGTAGGGCGTTTGCCTTGCGCGCGGTCAACCCAGGTTCGATTCCCAGCAACCCATATGGTCCCCTGAGCACCAACAGGGGTGGCTCCTGAGTGCAGAGCCAGGAGTAACCCCTGTGCATCGCCGGGTGTGACCCAAAAAGCAATAAATAAATTAATTAATTAAATTAAATAAAAAATTTTAAAAATAAACGCTGGCTTTGCGCCCAGCTGGCACAGGGCTCTACTCTCAAAGGCATGGGCTCTGGAAGTTGGGAAAGACTCAACAGAGAGTGGGAGATGGAGAAAACACACAAGCCAGAAGATTTCAGCCACCTTCACCTCTCCTGGGGTCCCAGTTCTTCTGGGGTGACCAAGCGCCGGTGCCCCGTGGGTGAAGGAGCAGAGCGGGGGTCAAACAGCCTGAAAATGTGGTCCCGGTATTTTCACTCCCAACCCAGCTGGTACTTTCTTGGCCACCCTATTCGTACTTGTGGGCATGTTTAACCCCAGTGTGGTCCTCTGCGCACATCACTGGCCGGCAGGGACACCCACCAGCCCCTCCGTCCCCAAGTGCAGCCCCGGGCCCCGGCACCTGGCTGATGGGTGTGTGCACCACGACCCCTCCGATGATCTCGGTCTTGTAGGCCACCTGGGGTTTCTTCTCCAGGGATGCAGGAACTGGGAGGCTTTTGAGGACTTTGGTAGTCACAGGCACACTCCCAGCTTTGGGTACCTGGGAAAATGACAGCACAGACAACAGAGAGCATAAGGATGAGGAGATGCAAGATGGATGGGGTGGTGGAAATTATAGTACCAGGTTATAGAAAGATGCTCTGTCCCCTGCCAGCCCTCTGACCCACCTTCATCTGAAGACCAGCAACTGCCACATGAGTGGCTGCAACTAGGCCACACACACACACACACACACACACACACACACACACGCACGCGCGCGCTAAATGCACAAGTACAGTGGGCACATGCTGTAAGGCAGCCCATTCCTGGCTAGAGAATAAATGGAAAATAACACATTGCAGACATTTACCCTGTCCTCATTGCATGCCCAGGTTAATAGGGAGATTGACAAAAATCTCCCAAACAATTGACACAAACAATCAGAATAACTCTAAATTGTGCTTAAAAAATTAGGAGAGACCAGAGAGATAGTACAGAAGTTAAGGTGCTTGCCTAGTATTTAGCTGCAGTTGCCAGGCAACCCTGGTTCGAATCCAGCATCACATATGGTCCCAAGTATTGCCAGGGGTGATCCCTGATCACAGAATCAGCTAGAGCCTGAGCACCACTGAGTATGGCATAAAACCAAACGAATCCTTTTTGAGGGGGTCATACCCAGTAATATGTGGTCCCCTCAGAAGGGTATGGGCTTACTTAACTCTGCATCCGGGGATCACTCCTGCAAGCTTGAAGCACCATATGTGGTGTCAGGTCCCTGGGTCCACCCCATGCAAGGCAAACACTCTACCCACTGTACTATCACGCTGGCCCCAAATAAATAATTTTTTTAAGAATGAGGAGCGATAGTACAGCAGGTAGGACATCTGCCTTGCATGCAGTCAACCAGGATTCAATCCTCAGCACCCCATACAGTCCTCTGAGCTCTCCCAGGAGTGATTCCTGAGTGCAGAGTTAGGAGAAACCCCTGAGCATCACTGGGGGTGACCCAAAAACAAACAAATTTTTAAAAACTGTTTTAATGAGCACTGAGCCAGAGATAGGAAGGAGCCACATGTGACTAAACAACACACAATTAGAGTTCTTAGTAGTTGAAAATCCTCATGTAACTTCTAGAGGACCCTAATACAGGCTCTGCATCCATAAAGGCAACCCTCTATAGTTTGTTCTTACATCCATTAATGTGTAACAAAGGCTAGGAAGAATATGCACATATAGTGGATATTTTTCAAAACTGTGTTTTTCAAAGGCAATTTTACTGGGATTGAATAATTAGAGGAGGTCTTTAAAGACTTCAAAACAGGCACCTAGAGATAAAAGCAACCAGGAAATCATCCAAGCAAAATGAAGAAAACCCTCGTGGTGCAGAATTAGACCACACATGTGAGCCTTGGCACCCAGGGACTTCATGTATGACTCCTGACCAGTCACTAACTAATGACCTTCAGCAAGTCATTGGACCTCTCTCTCTTGGCCTAAAGTCTCATGTGTAAAATAGAAAGAGGAACAACATTTATGTCCTAGAGCTGTCATCAAATAATGAATATAGACACTTAAAAAGGTTTAGAGAAACAAATGAGGGGCCAGACAGCTAGTGCAGTGGGTAGAGTGCTTGCCCTGCACACGCCAAGCCCCAGTTCAATCCCCAGCATCCTATACGGTCCTTCAAGGCTGCCACAAGTGCTCAGTGTGCCCTGAGCACTGCTGGATGTAACCAAAAAAAAAAAAAAGGGGGGGGAGTGGCTGGAGCAATAGCACAGCAGGTAGGGCGTTTGCCTTCCACGAAGCCAATCTGGGTTCGATTCCCAGCATCCCATATGGACCCCCGAGCACCGTCAGGAGTAATTCCTGAGTGCATGAGCCAGGAGGAACCCCTGTGCATCACCAGGTATGACCCAAAAAACTTAAATAAATAAATAAATGGGAAAGAAAAAGAAATAAACATGTCATTAAATCTTATCTGCTAATCAACATATTGTAAACATTTATTACTTTTAAATTGATGTGAAAATTTTAATTTAAAATTAAATCATTCAAAGTGATCAACATCTCAAAAAATTCATTTACAAACTCGGCCCCTTTTAAACGGTAAGTTCTGGGTGATCAGAGCATCCCAGAGTTTTTGTTTCTGACCATAGAACTTTTATAGCATGTCTGAGGCTGCCAGTCAGAGGCCGCAAACTGGTGGCAAAGTGTTTTGCTGTGTTTTGCAAGGAGCAAAACACAGAGTGGTGTTTTGCTGTTGTTTCCATATGACATAGTTCTAGCACCGCAGAGTGTGTTTCCAAACATCCCTCCCCCCGTAAGCTCAGTTCTTTAGCCCAACTCTCCTGTCTGCTGTCCCTGGCCCTTCCTCTGTGTCCTTACATCTGAGAGACATCATTCTGCCCCTGCCCCTTTCCTTCTGACTGACTCCATTCAGCATGAAATCCTATCGCTCCATCCACACAGAGTGGCAAGTTGCATGATTTCATTCTTTCTTACAGCTGCATAGTACTTCGTTGTATAAATATGCTACAACTTTTGGGGCTTGTTTTTGGTTCACACCCAGACGTGCTCAGGGCTTATTCCTAGCTCCATGCTCAGGAATCACTCCAGGAGGGGCTTCTGAGACCTTATGGGATGCTGGGGATCAAACCTGGGTGGTCTACTTAGAAGATAAGCACACTACCCACTGTACTATCCAGGCCCACCCCACAACTTCTTGATCCCTTCATCCATAGTTGGAGCTTTTGTTTGTTTCAATTTCTGAGCTATTATACTAAACAATTCATGAACATAGATATAAATTCATCTCAAATGAATGCCTTTCTTTTGGAAGGGTGGACACCAAGAGGTGGTATTGGTGGTCGCATGGAGTTCTCTTTTTATTTTTTGAGACCTCCCCCTATTGCTCTCCAGAGGTTGAACCAGTTGACGTGCCCACCAGAGGGGAGTGATGGCCAGCTGAAGCTCCTGTTTCTGTGCCTGTCACTGACCCCACCTCCCAGCCCCAACTCGATGCAGATGCACTAACTTTTTCCTGCATGATCTTTGATCTCAAAAAATCTGATTAGGGAGGCAGTCTTTTCTCCATGGAATAGCATTGGTAAACTAAAGCTTATTAAAATGAAACAATTTTCCCATAGAGTTCCCTGATTCTTATACTACTACCTGCCTATGTTATCCTTTCTAACTTTCTTGAAGTTTTGCTATTTTGTGATAGAATTCTTTATTTGCCATTTTGTGATAAAAATTTTATTATTACTGGGAGTTTTTGCAATATAATCACCATGCAAGAGCAAAAAGTCCCTCCAAATGAGTTATGAAAATCCATCAAAAAAAAGAAGGGGAAGTAGCATATCCCAGTTCCCAGTGGCAAAAAAAAAAAAGAGAAAAGGAACCTTAAAAGCTGGGCCATTGTATTGCTTCTGAGAATCTTGCTAGTCTACCCATAGAATTGGGTTGTCACTCATGTCTCTGTACTGTAGCCTCTGCTAACCAACTTCCAGACCCTTGCCAAAGCTGTTTCCACTTCCTGAAACTTTGAATCAGCTGGTGGAGGACAAACTCAGTGATAACTACACTCTAGAGCTTGAAAGCCAGGTAGTTCTTTTGCTATGGCCACCCCAGAGACCACATAAAACATCTGCCCTCTTTTGTGCTCCTGCAGAATGTTATTTGCTAAATCTCACTTGCAATAAAAAGTGAAATTTACAAAGTCCCATCTTTTTTTTTTTTGTCTTTTTGGGTCATATCCGGCGACGCACAGGAGTTACTCCTGGTTTTGCACTCAGGAATCACTCCTGGTGGTGCTTAGGGGACCATATGGGATGCTGAGAATCGAACACGGGTCAGCCGCGTGCAAGGCAAATGCCCTACATGCTGTACTACCACTCCAGCCCCAAAGTCCCATCTTTCTTCCCACACAGCATGGTGGGATTGCTGAGGCATAATCCAACTTGGGGGCAGACTGAGGAGAGGAGAAGGTGTGGGAGACGTGATTTACTTTTGTAATTCAATTTTCAACATTTTTGGAAAACATAATGAGGCAGGTAATATGCCCTCGAAATGTCACCTTATTTGGAAGCAGGATCTTGAAGATCTTGATAGGTGTAAAGAACTTAATATGAAGTCATTCTGGCTTGGGTAGGCCCTATGTCCTATGACTGATTTTTCTTTTTTAAATTTTGGTGGGGAGGAGGAGGGTAGGACACACGTGGAGGTGCTCATGGCTTACTGCTCACTTTGCATTCAGGGATCACTCCTGGCAGGGTTTGGGAGACCATATGGGGTTCTTGGGATCGAACCCAGGTTGGCTGCATGCAAGGCAAATACCGAGTCATTGTACCCTCCAGGCCCCAAGATGTTCTTATAAGTGGAGAGTTCCCGGACACAGAGTCAGACAGAGCGAAGGGAAGACAGTTGCAGCCAGTATGTTGTTGTCAGTCACGAGAGCTGAAGAAAGAAGAATGGCTCTCCCTGACAGCGGAGAGGGGTCATAATCCTGACACTTTGATTTCTGGTTCCTGGCCTCGAGAACCATGAGATAATTAATTTTTGATGTTTTAAGCCAGTCAGTGTGTTGTGGTAGATCTTAATACTAACACTTTGAGAGAACTTAATTCCTTACATATATCATTTTCTTCTATCATCAGGACTCAATGACCTTACCATAAATTAAGCAGTCCTCCGTGGGCAGAGAAACCGAATCAACCTGGGGACCAAAGTGATACTACAGTGGGTAGGGTGCTACCCTTGCATGCAGCCAAACTGGTTTTGATCCCCAGCACCCACTATGGTTCCTGGTATCTGATAGGAATGATCCCCGAGCACAGAACCGGAGTAAGCCCTGAGTACCACCAGATATGGCCCCCAAACAAAAACCAAAAGCCAAAACCCAAAAAGAAACAGAAAAAAAAAGAAAAGAAAACCCGTAATGAATTCATCTTAGGTGACTGATCTTGAGCAAGTCGCTTTCCTCTCGCATTTCTTCTTTTATAAATAAGAACATTAACACTTTCCCTTCCTATTTATTATTTTCATGAGGCTAAAACGAAGCCATATGTGTGAGAGTAGTGTATATTATAACCCATATTATAACTACTTCCATAAACTCCCAGGTCTTAGACGTCAGAGAGCTCTGGCTGGAATCCCAGCTCCAACACTGACTAATATCCAAGCTTTGGGCAAGACTCTGATACCCATTTTCTTAGTCCAAGAAAGAGCAGTAAGACAAGTCATGCCCCAGGGCTGGTGTGAGCGGTGAACCATATGGCCTTCTCTGAAGCCTGGCTCGTTTATTATCAATTCCCTTTCATCTCTGTATCTCCCCAATACCCAGTGCTATTCTTGGGCTGGAGCGATAGCACAGCGGGTAGGGCATTTGCCTTACACGCGGCCAACATGGCCGACCCGAGTTCGATTCCTCCGCCCCTCTCAGAGAGCCCGGCAAGCTACCGAGAGTATTCGATATGCCAGACACAGTAGCAACAAAGTCTCCAATGGAGACGTTACTGGGCCCGCTCGAGCAAATCGACGATCAACGGGAGGGCCTTTACCTTTACCTTTATTCTAAGGCTATTGTAAAAGCTATTCCAAAAACTATTCACATAAGCTATTCTAAAGCAACTTTGTGTGCCACCAATGTGGTACCCCAGTCCCTAGCTACCCTACACCTGGCTTCCCTACGGCAGGACACAGCAGTATAGGATGATGTGCAGTGGAGATGACAGCCAACTCATCAGGACTTGAAAAGATCAGGGGAAAGTACAGGCCCTTGTCTTCCCACAAGGCCTGCTAGGACTTTTGGTAGAAGAAAGAAAAAAGACAAGCGGCTTCTGTAGACCCTGGAGGCGCTAAGATGTGCCATGCCGGCACGCCCTTGGGTTTCCAAGGCCTGGCACCACCATGCTCCTTTCCGCGGTCTATAAATTCTACCTGCTACGGCCAGAAAAAGACAAGGGGCACCAGTTGAGAGACGCTCTCCTGGCTCCAATCACAGCAGAAGAGCAAACATGTTGGCCTGTGCCTCCTGTGCTGGCCAGCCGAGTTCTGCGGATAAGGACAGAGGCTGGAGTAAGGGCCCAGTGGGCGGAGGAAGCAGTGGCATCGTCCTCCCAGCACTGCTGGGTGTGGCCCATAAACAGGAAAAAAAAACACTAAAAAAAAACCAACACTAAAAACACTAAAAAGAAAATCCAAAAAGAACTGCTGAATAAGAATAATATGTTTAATATTTAAAGAAACCCCCCAAATTGTGGAAAGCCCAGAGGGAAAGACCCCCACATGAATGAAGAAGACCTTTACTCAAATCAGAACCAGCTGACAAGTGAGCTGGATGCCATCCCTTCCTTCCTTCCTTCCTTCCTTCCTTCCTTTCTTTCTTTCTTTCTTTCTTTCTTTCTTTCTTTCTTTCTTTTTTCTTTTGCTTTTTTGAGTCTCACCTAGCAATGCATAGGGGTTACTCCTGGCTCTGCACTCAGAAATTATTATTCCTGGCAGTGCTTGGGGGGGTCATATGTGATGCTGGGAGTCAAACCCAGGTTGGCCGTGTGCAAAGCAAATGCCCCTACCCACTGTGCTATGGCTCCAGCCCCCGCTGTCACTTTCTGACCTACCATTTCTCTTTCTTTTCAGAAGCGTACCAAATTTCATTAGACTAACAAGCTGAGAAGAAAAACCCCTTAGATGACTGAGGTGTACTCTGTTTAATTGAGTCTAGCCTCACAAGTGCTGGATGTCAGAGTATTGCATGTATTCACTGGACCCCTGAGGCATTTGGGAGCACAATATGCTCCAGTTTGTTAATGCTTATTATTACAAGTCACCAACACAGAAACACTCCTGACTGTGTGATACAGAAATTTAGCACACAACCACAGTTTCTATGCCAGAAGTCTGCCTATATTGTTGGGCAATGATTGAGTGATTTTTTTTCTTCCTCAGTATTTTTCTCCCTTTTTACCCCTGTATCTCTAAAAAAGGAGTTTACCTTACAAGACAAAGAAATAAGAGTTCTCACTGAAAAGTCAGTGAATTAGTTTAGCGACGCTTTTAAAGAGAAGGGTTTAGAGGTCGGAGTGAAAGTACAGTAGGTAGGGTGTTAGCCTTGCATGTGGCAGACCCAGGTTCAATCCCTGCCTTCCCATATGGTCCCCTGAGCACTGTCAGGAGTAGTTCCTGAGTGCAGAGCCAGGAATAATCCCTGAGCTTCACCATATGTGACCCCCAAACAAAAAAACTCATTAATAATTTAAGAAAAGGGTCTACCAGACCAATTAACAACTCAGACTCATCCTCTAGGAAACCCCGTCCACTTTCCAACCCCTCTTCCTCCAATGAGCCAGGAAAAAAGCTCTGACTTCCCCCCTCGTAGATTTTTCTCTCTGCTTCTCATAGTCAGCCATACATTTTCCAATCCTACTGCATTCTGAATCAGCATCCCAGAATTACCCAAAGTCTGACTGCCTAGGGGCCCTTCCAGGAAGTACAAAAGGGACCCACCATAAACTTCCCCTTAAACATGGTTCCAACTCATTCTCAGTTCAATTTGTGGTTAGCAAGCCAAGGTATAAGGTGGGGGGAAGTAGGTCTGGAAGAGACTCCTGGGAAAGGTCCTTCTCCTACCTAAGCTTTTCCCCACATGGAGGCACATACTCCCTTCAGAATAAGAGAAAGAATTATACGTACAGTGATTTTGCTGGCTTGGTTCAGGGCTTCAACCCAGTCCTTCAGATCTTTCTGGTCATTGGCTTGAAGAAAATACCTCTGAGAGAGGGCATTGATGACTGTAAAAGCCATGGGGAAGAGGGAAGAAAAACCCAGCTCAGAACACATCCAACACAAAAAGATTCCATTAAACTAAGGTGCTTCAAGAAGGTAGAGAATCCCCACGCTGTCATGTGTGTGGATATCAAGAAAGCATCAGGCTACAAGGACCCATTCTCTTTATTTTTCATTTACTGATTATGTTTATTGACTCCCATGTATTACAAAGTTACAAAGGTATTTATGATTGAGTTTCAGTGTACAATGTGCCAACACCAATCTCTTCACCAGTGTCCACTGCCCTCCACCAATGTCCTCAGTTCCCCCCTGCCGCCCCCCCCCCCGCTCCCACCAGCCTTCCTCTGTGGAAGTCACTAGATCTCTCTCTTTAATAGAATGGATTCATCCACTGTGACAAGAGTGACATCTGACAACACTGACAACATCAACTGTAGTCTTCATATGTTGCTGCTAATTTGCCATCAAGAGGAGCTAAGTTTACACTGCATTTTAGAGATGTTGATGGATTTCTAGTTGTAATGTTACATGCACTGGGCCCACTGAGTTTGTATCTCCTGGTTTAACTAGCCAAGGAGTCTTGTCTCTGGTTGGAAAATTAAATATAGCTTTCATGGGGTCAAATCTGTGACTCTGACCTCATTTTTTGACCTAATCTTTCCCCTAGGCAAGCCTTTAGAGCAACTAAGTTTACTTCCAGATCCATCATTTACTTTTTTTTTTCCAGATTGGTTGAGCACAAAATCTGTCATATTTAAGATTAGCAGTGATTTTTGAAGGATGTGGGAGAAAATGAACAAAAGAAGTTTGCGCCAACCTATAGCTGGAGGAGAAGATAGCTCGGGGCACCTTTTCAGTCTCCCAGCATAAATCAGCTAGCCTACAGGAGGTGAGTATCACGGGGCAGACACAGAATCCATCACTTCATTCAACAAATATTTACTGAGCACAAACTATGTGTCAAGAACCATATGAACTATGTGTTCAGGACACACAAGTAGAGAAAGAAGTGGATATGACTAGTCCTGTCCTCACTCTAGAGAGACAGAAAAGGCTGGGAGACTTTGCTCACAGCACTTGGATCAGGATTGAGAACACCACAGCAGAGCCGAATGCCCAGTGATGGGCTGGTGAATGGAGGCCCCACTGAGCAGCACCCCCACTCTGTTCCGGAGGGTCTCAACAGGATCCTTCGCATAACTGTCTTCCTGACACCACCCTCGATTGTCCCCAGACTCTGCTTTTCCTGCGCATACCCACAAATGGCTCGAAAGGAGGCTTCCTAGAAATAGCCAACCTTGTACCTTGGGCCGCACCCCGCAGTTGAGAATGGAAACATGCGTGGTTCTGATTCTGTTGTCTTATGTTGTCATTGTCACAGTGAGGCCAAAGAAAGTTGTATCGTTTCAGGCCCAGGGACACTGCTGTGACTAAAGCCACTCGTCACACAGGGTGTAAATCACATGGGACCCGCACAACTGTCTCCATGAGTAAGAAGAAACTATTAGAGGGTTCAGAAAACCCACCCTCAGTACTTACCAAAGCAAAATGGAGTTTTGGGTTTCTGCTTTGGGGTAGCTATGCTCACCTAAATTAAATAAAAAGATGAAAGAAACATGAGTATGTCTCTAACAATGTTATAGTGCATTTTTGTCCAATATATTAATGTAAAACTTATCATACATAAAGAGGAATATATAAAACAGGTGAATATTTTCCAGAGCATTAAGTGGAAACCCTAGATTCACCACCTAGATTAATAGGCCATATCTGTTCCACTTATCAGAAGCCCATACGTGTCATCTCCATCTCTCCCCCTAGATAGCCACTATCTTGACATCTGTGCCATCTTTATCTCTGAAAAATACTTTTTTTAAAAATGAAACACTGTGAGATACAGTTGCAAAGCTGTTTATGACTGGGTTTCAGTCACACAGTGCTCCAACACCTGTCCCTGGACCAGTGTGGATTTCCTACCACCAATGTCACCGGTTTCCCTCTCACCCCCAACCCTTCTCCCACCTGCCTCTATGATAGACACTTTCCCTCTTCTCACTCTCCTCTTTCTCTTCTCCTCTCCTCTCCTCTCCTCTCCTCTCCTCTCTTCTCCTCTCTTCTTCTCTCTCTCTCTCTCTCTCTTTCCTTTGGTTATTATGCTTTTCAATACAGGAACTGAAATGTTATGAATATCCCTTTACCTACTTTCAGCACTAAGTTCTTATCCAGAGTGACCATTTTCAACTATCATAATGGTCCCTTCTCTATCCTAACTCCCCGCCCTTCTCCCCAACACGTGGCAAGCTTCCACGAGGACCAAACAAGGACCAGCCCTTGTGAAAAATACTTCAAAAGCCATCACGTCCTGGTAAAATTCTCCCTAAACAACCACAAGGTCTGTACTGGCCCCATTCACCCTCCTCTCCCACAGACCAAGCCCCTCCCCCAGCTCTGAAGGTGTATTGGTACAAACCCATAGACTCCATATGAGTCCACAGCAGAGGCAGCACGTCTGAGTTCAATGTATGGATCAGTCTCTTTTATAACTACCCTGACTGTTTAATTATGAAAACAAGCCCTTCCCACATGCTTAGAGAGGTCACTGAATACAGAAAGCATATCTTATGTTTAAGGGAAAGCATAAAGTACAGACAATTTTGACCGTCTTGTTAAATAATTTCACGTTGATTTTTCAATTCTGCCCCTCAACTATACATTCAGAAATCAGGTTCAACACACTGAATGAATGAAAGGAGGCACATTCCATCCTCTTCCCTGCCTCTGCCTGAGTTTAGATGAGACCCCCTTGACCGAGGTGGGTTTTCCCGGAACAGGCCACCATTCGGTCTGGGGTTTTTCTGTGTCTGTGTGTGTTGATGGAGTAAAATTGTTTTATGTAGATAAGGGGGGCGGGCAGAAGGGGGAAAATTGGGAGGGAGAAAGAGAGAACACAGGCTTCTCCCGGGAGCAGAGAGCCAAGGTGCCCATAAAGTGAAAGAAAAGAATTACTCATCTCAGGCTGAGAGGCGGGTGAGCCCTGAGAGGGGAGTGAACATGGGATTTCTAAGAAGAGGACAAGCTTCCCTGGAAACAAAGGCAGAGGGAAATCTGGGCTGGGAACTACTGACACATCGTCCTTAGTCTAGCCCTGGACACAGTTCTCCCAGCCCCTGTTCCAGCCAAGAGCGTTAACATACATGCTCTCACCTAGGAACTCCAAGGAGCTTTAACCAGAGGCATGAGAAAAGCCAGGGACTGAAGTAAAACCTCAAATTAAAACGAAGGTTTCCTAACACCTCAGAATCGCCCAGAGTCTGCTGATGACAAACCCACAGGTCTGCCTGGATTCTCACTTTTGGCTCTGAGGTGTTTCGGTGGACAAGCCATGATGATTTAACAACCTAAATTAACTCTACCCCAAATTCTCAAGATGGAAACTGAGGGTGGAAGCCTATAAAAGATCAAAGAAAGAACAGGTAGTGCACCATGGGCTTTTGTGCCTCCTACTATGTGACCCCACTTCCTCCGCTTCATCAGACGGGGGTAATAATATGATAGTGCAGGGGAGGCAAGACACTCATCCAGGACGCCACAACCATGCCTCTAGACCCCGAGCCAGATTGTTTCATTCGAGGTAAACCAGAGGGGGCGGGTGAGGTCTCTCCCTGCCCCAGTGGAGCCAGCCCTGGCAGCTGAAAACCTCCAGAACTCAACCGCCACCATGCTCAAAGCCACTCTCCACACACTAAGACGGGCCTCACCCATGAGGGAATCTATTCCTGGACAGCTCACACTTTACACCATTGGTATACCAAGATCAGCACACCATAATTGATGCGGTTTAAAGTAGAAGGCAACCAATCTTAGGGGGAAAATATGTATAAAGATATAGATATAAGCATACAAGGCTCAACCTTTGACAACATGTTAGTAATCTCTTATAGAAGGGCTTAATGGCTCTTGGGTCAAATACAACAATCTTCACACACCTTCCTCTAAGAAACCTTTTTTTGTCTCATTTTTAGCCCGGCAAGCTACCGAGAGTATTCGATATGCCAGACACAGTAACAACAAAGTCTCCAATGGAGACGTTACTGGGCCCGCTCGAGCAAATCGAAGATCAACGGGAGGGCCTTTACCTTTACCTTTTAGAGGATTATTCATAGCAAGCAATACAAAATAAATTATTTTGGTTCTGCTTTGGGGGCAGGGTTTGGGGTTCGGGATGGAAATATGGTGGTGGGAAGGTATAATGTTGGTGTGACTAGTGTTCAAATGTTAAATGTAATAAAATCTTGTGAGCAGCTTTATAAAAATAAAATAAATTTAAAAAGAAAGAAAAACTAACTCATCCAGCCACACAGAAGCTGCTCAGGTAAGGGCAGGTGGGGGATGGGGGAGAATGGATAGCGTATAATTCCCTATTTCCTTATATCAACACAAGCAACTAATATGTACAATGCTCCGCATAGTACTTCGGGCACAAGGCTGAAGGTTCTTCCGGTGCCTACAAAAATGCATGAGAAAAATGTGTCTCCTCCAACTTAGAAAACAAATACGGCATACTCAGCATTAAGAAAAGTCGTGTGCCATCTGACACATCAAAATGGCAAGATCAAACCGTCCCCACCCATTGCTGTGGCCCTCAGAAAGAAGGCCCAAGTGGTGATCACATTCACCACAGAGGAGTGGCTCCTCCCCCACATCCTGGTGATGTAGAGCCCCACCCCTGCCCACCCCACCTCCTGGTGGTCAGGGCAGGGCAGTGTGAACCCTGAGGGGACCAGCTGAGAAGGTATCCACCAGGGGTGACGGCAGTGAGGAGGGTCTAGATGAGAGGGGAGAATACGGTGGGCTTCACTGGGGCTGCTCCAAAACTCAGCTGCCTCAGCCGCCTCAGGAACTTGCTCTTATCAGACGAAGCCCAGACCACAGGCACAGCAAACTCTCTGCGGCGGGCCCCTGTGGGCTCGCCTCACCCGGGCGGCCTGCACCGGAAGTGGAGCTGGGGCCCTTCGAAAACGCAGCAGCAGCAAAACAAGGTCACACGGCTCTGGAAGACGCCCTGCCGGGTGTGCGGGTGACCCTGGCCCAAGTGGTGGCATCAAGGAAAGAGACAGCCTCCAACACAGACTCTAGTTGAAGGCTCTGGCATTTGGAGTTGCTTTAGGGGACCAAAAGGCCCCCAAATTTAAGCCAAATCAGGGTGTCTACATATGTATGTATCTTTATTTCAAAGGAGGGGCACACCTGGCGGTGCTCAGGGCTTGCCCCTGGCTCTGCACTCAGTAATCACTCCAGGTGGGGCTCAGAGGACCCTACGGGTGCCAGAGGTTGAACCTGGGTTGATTCTGTGCAAGCACCCTACCCGCTGTCCTTTCGTTCAGGCCTACCACATGTGACAGTCACCACTTTTTATCAAACTCTTAAGAGATGAGAGTCCCCTATTTCCAAATAAGATAACCTCTCTGCCACCCCCCTAACAGAGGCTAAGAACCACTGTGCTAGGTGATGAGACTCGCCCAGGGAACAGTGCTGGCTGCATAAAGAAAGGTCATCTGGCAAAGGCAAGGTGGGGACGCCAAAGGCCGCCTCCAATTATCTTCGAGTTCACCCAAGATCTGGTTCCACTGCCACCAAAGTCGTGGGTGACAGTATCTCCCTGAAGGCTGTCATCTCCCCAACATCAGCCCACGAGAAACAGCCACAGAAGAGCGCCCCAAACAGAAAGGCCACCTGCAGACTACGGCCAGCCAGGCCCACGGGCTCTCTCCTTTGGGAAGGAATACCTGAGTTAACCAGAAACAACCTGGAACGCTGCATTTGAGCCCTGTGTGTTTCTGGGGGCATAGGAGTTTAAGGATCTGAGCTCGAAAAGTCATCTGACCTGGCAGCAGCCCGTTTTGTAAAACCCAGGCCTGCTTCTCCCAGACAGGCCTAAACAGCAGATCCAGCCTCCAAAGCGGGAATTCTGTACGCCCTCCTCTGAGCTGCATTTAAAAAGCCTGACTCAGCAGGAGGCTGGATTCATTTCTGCCCCTGTTCAAAACAAAAGCAAAACCCTTTCAAGCCGACTTGGGGTTGCATTATTGAAGAAATTCTCTGCTCCTCCCTCTGAATTCTCTTTCTCAACTCTCCTGCAGGAATGACCTTAAGGAGCTCCCAGTAGGCCAGACAGAGGGGAGGGCCCCGCGGGACGCCCAGCCAGCCACAGGCCCACCAGGCCTGAGGAGGCTGCCAGAAACTTTCTCACCACAAGACCAGTACAAATTACCCACAGCTGTGCTAGCCCGGCTGGGCTTTCCAAGGCAGCCCTTCCTGAGGTCATTATCTCGTCTCTAATCCACTCACCCAGCCCTGCAGCCTTTGCACCTCCTTCAGACCTCTGAGCAGCTGCAACTGAAGGTGGGACGCCCACAGGGGCCCTCTAGTCTCTGCCTCAGCTCCTAGACAGTGAGAGAGCCTGAACCAGGAAGGAGAGGCCTCATGAGGCTTGGAACAGGGCGGGGGTGGGGTGGGGGGGGGGGCGCGGGGAGTGGGACGCCTTCCAGACGCTCAGCGCTGGCAGGGTGCCACCTGGCTCTCCTCGCTGAACAAAGAGTTCCTCTCTGCACAGCTCTGACCCCCCTGGCCTTTTTTCATCCCAGCTGCACAGCAGGACAGCGGCAGGAATGCACCAGCCCTCCCTAGAGAAGCAGTCTCATCGCCGAGTCCAGCCTTTCCCGCAGGTCTTGTACTAAGGGGCACCAGGGGTTAGCCCTGCATCCTGCCAGTGTGCAGGAGTTACCTGACTGCCCGATGGCTTTCTGGCACACCTGGGCACCTCTGAAGGCACTCAGCCTTCCCTCTCCATTGCCTGTCCAAGTCACTAACCAGATTCTGCTGCAGCCCCAGCTCCCTGAGATGGTCCCATTTAACTGCACATTGGGAAATTCCTTCGAATCCATTGTGGATTTTCTGTTGCTATTTTTGTGTTCCTTTATGCCCCACTTACAAGAGGGGTCCTGCCCTCCCCCTTCCCTTCCTTCTCAGGGGCAGCACTAACTGGTATCCCTCCCAGAAGGAAGAGGTCATTCTGGAATGTCCTCCAAGAACCTGCTATGCACATTCCTGCACCTTGCCACCTCCATCAGCTGCAAAGCTGCCACTGGTAGGTGCCAGAGATGCAGCTCAGGAGTAGAGCACTTTCCCGGCATGTGTGAGGTCCTGGGTTCAATCCCTGAGCACCACCTTGAGGAATCCTGAGCAACAGGCCAGGAGTAGCCCATGAGCAGTGCAGGGGATGGTCCAACCCTACCCCAGCCTAGCACCACCAAGGCAAACTTCCACTGGCAAAAGGGAGGAGGGACACTTGACTGCCCACAGAACACCTCCAAAGGCGGATCCCCCAGAGATCTGACACTTCATCCTGCTCACATGCAAACCCTGCTTGGAGAACATGAACCTCCCGAGCCCAGGCCCACATTACCTTTGAGATGTAGGTCAGCGGCAAAGATCCGACAGCGCCTGCCCCAGCTGCCAGGTTCTGAAAGACACATGTCAGGTTTGAGGAGTGAGACTGTGTGAGTCTGTGAGAAAGGAACTAAGACCCAGATCTCAGTTCTGCTGATGCTCTACTGTCTTCAGAACCCCGGGCAGGCCACTTGCCCACACTTAGGACTTTTCCTTTCTTGTGCCCACCCCAAATACCCTTTGCTTTCTTTCTGCTTCTTACTGTTACAGTGACAGGAATAATAAGCAATGCTCAGGGGTCACACCGTGCCCTACTTACTCATCCCTTAGTTCCACCCTTCCTTCTGAAGCAGTAGTCACCTTTGCCATTGAGAATGTAGCTTAGCGTGACCCTTGACCCTATCGATTACAGAAATGTATTCCAGCACAACAGGGGTTCAGGCTGGGAACTGCAGCTTTAGTGAATCTCTTCAGCATCCCACCGCAGTTTTCCCCTTGTGTAAAAGTAGGGAAATAATGGGGCCACATTACTCCACAACAAAACTATCAGGACGAGTTGATATACTCAGAACTGAGGGACATGTACATACCATTATTCACTGCTGCATTTTGTAAAATAACTAAGATATGGAGTCACCCTAAGTCCCCAATGACAGAAGAATGGATTATAAAGATGCAGTAGATATATACAATGGAATGCTATGCGGCTGCGAAGAGCAACAAAATCATGCAATTTGGGTTGGAGTAATAGCACAGCGGGTAGGGTGTTTGCCTTGCACGCAGCCAACCCGGGTTCAATTCCCAGCATCCCATATGGCCCCCTGAGCACCGCCAGGGGAATTCCTGAGTGCAGAGCCAGGAGTAACCCCTGTGCATCGCCAGGTGGACCCAAAAAAAAGCAAAAAAAAAAATTTCAAAATCATGCAATTTGTTATCACGTCAAGTGAAGTAAGCAGAAGAAATGCAAACACAGGATGACCTCACTTATCTGTGGTATTCAGAACAAGTGGAGGGAAAATGTAAGGAAGTGGCAATGCTGGGTCACCCTTGACCCTAGAGCTTAGGGAGGAGAAAGAACAGAAAGGGAAAGAAGATGAGAAAGGTTTTTAAGGGGGCACAAGGGTCAGGGCTTTGGTTCTCCTGGTGATGTAGGAGAGCAGTATCACTAGAGATTCCAAGCACAGACAGGCCCAGCAGTCCTGGAAACATGAGATCTAAGCTGCATCCACCGAACCCTGTAAAGTGCCTGGCAAGGTGGCAGGGGAGGCCAGCTGGGGGAGATGGGGGGAGCATATGGGAACCCACAGGGGAGGGGATTGACACTAGTGGGGAATGCTGTTGAAACAGTATATGCCTAAAACAATACTTGCAAGAACCTTGTAAGTCGTGGCTCTTTAATTAAATTCTTTTCTAAATACAAGAACTGAGGCTCCAAAAGCTGAATTGCATCGTTTCACATGTGGGAGCCCCGGAAGTGATCTCTGAGCATTCCAGGGTGCTGTGTCCCTCAGAAGAAACACTTGGACTCATCCCTATTATGAGAGCGACCCCCAATTAGTGTGAGCTCTTATATTTTTTCTGTCCTGTCTGTCTTTCGTCTCCTTGTTAGTTTGGTCCTCCTTGATGCCACTTATGCTTCTTTTCATAATAAATTCTTTTCACATAAATTTTACAGCTGTGTACAATTTCACACAACAAGGAAATAGAAAATACTTAGTTGCTATGTCTATTTCATAGAACTGTAGTGAGTAGCAGATGGAAGTGGTGTCTGACCCGAGTGACTCATAGACAGGGGCCTGCCTGGCACAGTCCAGCCAGATTCAGTCCCCAGCACCCCACACGGTTCCCAAGCACCGCTGGAGTGATCCCTGAGTACAGAGCCAGCGCAAGCCCTGAGCACTGCTGGGTGTGACCCAGAGTACAAAAAATAAATGAAATGATGTCTGAAACATAAACCATAAAACACCAAGTAAATATTCCAATAAAATGGTGAGAAAGGCACAGGTACTTGTCTGGCATAATAGTCTGCCTAAGTATAGCTTCTCTGTCTCTCTTATTTCTTCTCTTTTGGAAGTGACGCAACACAGACACAGGGAGAGTAGTCATGACCTCTCTCTAATATCATTTATAATAATAAATGAATGTTTGGTCTTCCACCCTGTTCCTGGCACAGGGTTCTAAAACTCTTGGCACTTCCTCAGTGATGAGATAGAGCAAGGTAATTTCTGTGACATTAATTAGGAGATGTTTGGAATATCCCTAAGACACCTAAGGATAGGCTCTGGTTGCCGGAGGAACCAGTCACATGATTAAAGGTCACGAGTGGCAGGGAGGGAGGAAGCAGAAATGAGTTCATTCACTAAAAGGACAAATAGTTCATCAATCATGTCTGAAATAAAGCCTTCACAAAAACCCAAATGGGTGGGTTAAGAACGAGATGGAGCAAGTAAGCCACTTGGCTTGCATGTAGTCAACCTGGGTTGGACTCCTAGCACTACATACGGTTCCCAGAACCTGCCGGGAATGATCCCTGAGCACAGAGCAAGGAGTAAGCCCTGAGCACCTCCAGTTGTTGCCCAAGAAAACAAAATAAAACAAAACAAATAAAGAAAAGGAAAAAAGAGGAGGGGAGGGGAAGTGGGGGAGAGGGGGGAAGGCATGGGCGAGGAGGGGCGGGGAGAGATGTTGGTGTACAGAAACTCTTTTGTTTGGATCCTTGATCTGTATATCTCTTCACCTGGCAGTGCTGTATTTAATCCTTTTCTAACAAATCAGAAATCTAGTAAGTAAAATACGTCTCTGAGTTCTGCGAGTAGAGCTAACAAATTATTAAACCCAACGGGATGTGGGTCATTGGTAAACTCCCATTAATATCTAACTGGTTGGAAGCAGGCAGCTTGCAAGCCTACTAACTGAAGGAATAATCTTGTGGGACTGAGTGGTTAGCCCATGGGGGCTGGATTTGTCTTTAGGCCAAGTGAAATTGTTGGGCACCCTGTTGGTGTGCAAGGATTAGTTCACATGTGGAATGAGTCTATACATTGGAAGAGGAGTTAGAATTGCAGGTGACAGACTAAAGAAATGGCTGGAATTCAAAATCTCAGCTGTGGAGTCTCTAATGCATAACTTACAAATTCCACTTCTCAACACCCCCACCCCACTTCCGCCCCACCCCGTCACTCCCCGCCCCTCCCCAGAAGCTATCATGGTTCCTGGTAGTCTGAAAGAATAACCCACCCTACCCCACACATCTCCTAGTCCTCATTGCCTGAGGTTATCTCAAAGCAATAAATAAACCTGAATCTTGAATGAGGGGTGTTTGCATTGTATAAGGCCAACCTGGGTTCAATCCCTGGCAGCCCATGTGGTCCCCTGAGCACCACGAGAAGTAATTCCTGAGCGCAGAGCCAGGAGTAACCCCTGAGCATTTGGGATGTGACCCAAATAAGAAAAAAAAAACCCATGGGGACCTTTTGGTATCTGTATTGCAAACCACAATGCCCAAAAGTGGGGAGGGGGAGGGGAGGAGGAGAAGGAGGAGGATGAGGAGGAGAAAGAGAGAGGGAGAGAGAAGTGCCTGCCACAGAGGCAGGCTTGGGATGGAGTGGGGTGTGATGGGAGGGAACCTGGGGACACTGGTGTGGGAAACGTACACTGGTGGATGGATGGGTGTAGGAAGGAAAGAAGGAAGGAAGGAAGGAAGGAAGGAAGGAAGGAAGGAAGGAAGGAAGGGAGGGAGGGAGGGAGGGAGGGAGGGAAAAGTATTTTAAAAGGATTCTCGGAGTCCAAGAAGATTGATATGAGAAGTCAAAAAAGATAGTTATGTTCTTCTGCCAATGTGATGATAGATCTAAATTCTGCCCCAAATAATCAGAATAGTAGTTCCAATACAGGATATTTATTTTTCATTTATTATGTGGCTTCAAGCTCCCAAGACACAGTCCCTCAGTTCTTCTGCTGAAAAATTTGGCTTTACAAAGACAACACCACCTGAGAGCTGGTCACACAGCCTCGTTTCCCGGGCTGCAGAGGCCACACAGGCAGTGCGGTCACTGGAGGAGAGTCTGGGTGGGTGTCAGAACACTGTATGCATGAAACCTCCTGTTAACAGTATTGTGAATCATGATGCCTAACATTTAACAACTGAAATGAAAAACAGTTTTTAAATTTTATAAAAGAACTTGGGTTTCACACTGCTTAGGTCACTTGGAAAGGTGCCCTCCCCCAGACTCTGCGGGACCCAGGCCACACCACATCAGTGACAGCTGTGAGAGGCCTACACAGAGAAAACTACAAAATGCACAAAATGCTACTTCAAAAAATAAAAGAGGGCATGAGGAAATAGAAACACAATCCCCTGTTCATGGATTGGGATGATTAATATCATCAAAATGGCAACATTCCCCAGAGTATTATATAGGTGCAGTCCCTATAAAAATACCCATGTAAAATTTTTCAAAGAAACAGATCAAACACTCTTGGGATTCATATGGGACAATAACCAACCCACTCCTGCCCCGCCCCACCCCGCCTCCTTGGGGAAAGATTATGGGAGGAATCACTTTCCCGATTTCAAACTGTCCTACAAAGTGGGGTAAGTAAAACAGCAAGTACTAGGAGACATACCCTCAGAGCAGTGGAATAGAACTGAATCTCCTGAGACAGGTGCCTCAGATATGTGATCAGTTAATCTTTAATAAAGGAGCAAAAAATATGAAGTGAAGCAACCAAAGCCTCCTTAACATTTGGTTCTGCAGCTACATGCAAAAAACTGGACTCAGTCTTCTTTCGAACACCATCACAAAGCAAAATGGATTAAAGATCTTGATATCAGACATAAATCCACAAGGTAAGCAAAACTCTCCATGACAATGAAGTTAAAGGCATCTTCATGGATGAAACACCACTGACCAAGCAAATGGAAGCAAAGATAAACAAATAGGATTACATTAAACTAAGAAGCTTCTGCACCTCAAAGGAAATGATGAACCGAACACAAAGATAATCCAGAGAATGGGAGAAATTATTTACCCAACACTCATCAAATAAGAGGTAAATCCCGAGATATATAAG